TCTCTCTCTCTCTCTCTCTCTCTCTCTCTCTCTCTCTCTCTCTCTCTCTCTCTCCGCGAGGGCCTACATCAAAGCCAGGCGGTCGCGAAGCGCGTTCCGCAACAACTCCCCCCCGACGTTGGAGCTCTTTGGCCGCCTGCCTCCGCCGCCCCCGACAATGCCCAAGTCCACTCTGCGCCTGACGCCGTCCGGACCCACCTCCCATAACAGGTTCTCATCGAAGTCGATCCCCGCATAGAGGAGGATGTTGTGGAGAGTGCAGATGACGATGAATTGTTGTGGCAATGTTTCCAGGTTCGTCTTGTGGGTGCGCAAGAACAGACGCCACATGCACTTCAGTCGGCCGAGCGCCCTCTCCACACACCCCCGCACCACCTTCTGCCGGTTGTCGAAGCGCTCCTCGTCAGGACCTTGGTCTATTCCTCCATACGGCTGCACGATCCATGGATGGGCAACAGGATAACCGTTGTCGCCCAGAAGGTATCCTCGCGTGACGACACCGTGCGGCAAATTCTCAAGAGCTGCGTCAAAGAGCTCGCCAATCTGTGCGCGCCTCCAGAGTTGGGAATTGTGCAGGACGCGGACGTCGTGCACACTCCCCGGGTATCCGACGTGGACGTCTAGGATCTGGAGATCCAAATCCACGATGACCGGCGCCTGCACGGAGAACTTGTGGTTGCGGTCGTAGTAGTTGGCAGAAGGTGTGCCGGCGGGCTTGTCGATGTAGATGTGTGTGCAGTCGATGGCGCCGAAGCAGTTCGAGAATCCCTTATCACGGAAAGCGTGGAGAATCTGCGCACGTCTGCGGCCCACTGGCCACTTGATGATCTCGGGGTACACCCGCAGCAGCGCCGAAGTGACGTCGCGGACGGCGAGCACTCCAGTGGCCCTGCCGATGCCGAAAGCTGAAGTGCCACTCTCGTACGTCTCCCCGGACGCCCACCTGTACAACGCGAAAGCGATAACCTGCTCCGCTGGCAATGGCGTTCTGTAGTGCGTGACCTTCTTCTCCACGAACGAGGCGAGAGCGGCTACGATCTGCTTGAACATGGCCATCGACATGCGCAACTTTTGGCGGTAGTACTCGACCGTGGCGTCATCGCTTTGCCGGAGGTCCTCCCATGTTCCGCCAGTACGTCGTTTGATCCACCATCGCGGGGTCTGTCGGGGGAAAACGCCAGACGACAGCGCGGCACATAACTGGACCACTACCTCACACGTCACCACGCAATCCGCTGCTTCGGCAACGCTCTGCAACAGCGCTCGTCATTTACGGAGCTGCTTCGCCTTGTCTTGTGACGACGACGACATCTCGTTCATCGTCTTCAGGATGACGGTAGACACCGCCATCACCACCGCCTCCATCTCTTCCGCCCGCAGACCGTGGCCGCAGCCTCCGCCATCCATCTCCGCAAATCGCTTATCCGCCACACCTTCGCTCATGCCGCAGTCGCCCAAGACGCGCCCGCTGCTCAGCATTGCCATTGGACACCACGCACACTGTGTGACCCGTAGACGTCCCGCAGCTGTGCACTACCTCAGGAGATGGAACAAGCGCGATGCCGAAGACGCGCCCGCTGCTCTACGCTTCCACAGCGAAGGCGACGGGACGTCCGTACGTGAAGATGCGTCGGGCAGGAAGATGCGTCGCGTGCCTCACAATTCCCGCGTACAGCAAAGCTGGTTACCCACGGCGAAGGGGCCGCCACCGCCGTGTCTTGTACGTCACACTCGTCGCCTTGCCGTCCTCCAGCCCGCCAGCCTGCGTCCGCCAAAACTCGAATTTCAAATTTTGAAGGTCTCGGCAACCGCGCGCTTCACCAACCCGTCGGCAGATGCCCAAGCCCCACCGCAGTGTGGACCACGGACACCAGCCTGGACTGGACGGACATCCGCGACGCGGCTGTGTATACGTGTATGAAAACGGGCCGCGGGAAAACCTTTTAGGACGATTCCTAAAAGACGATTTTTAGGACTGCGTGTAACGACGCCGCACGAAATCCTAAAAAACTTTTAGGTCTCGTCCTAAATCTTGTAGGATTCTTTTAGGAGTGTCTAACGAGACCCTTAATTCCTTATTTTACTTCTCGATTCCGACAAAAACGCCACATGGCTGATACACCCAAACTGCGACATGCTCACACTAGCACTCGGGAGAATGCATCCAACTGCATTCACCTCCCCAGTGTTGTTGTTTGTTTTTTTGGTTTTGCTGTTTTTGTTTTCCAACTGGTACCCCCAGCCTCGGCCCATCCAGCTACTCGTATTGCCAGGCTTTGTAGGCTCGACATACCGGTCGCTGGAGGCTCGCAGTTGATAGTTGGGCCAAGTACAGGCCAACCAGTTCAATTACCTGTCAAATCTGGACAGGACAGCCTTTGCGGCCTTTTTTATGGTCAGTATAGTATTACGGGGGAACCCTGTAGTAGCCACATCCGTTATCAAGCCTCCAACGAGGGAACATGAGGGAGCTGCACCCACCAGCAGGTGTGATACCTGCTACAACAGGTGGGCGATACCGACCAGGGGTCAGCCAGTAGCATCAGGACAGAGCTTCTCCGATGGGTCGAGGGGCCAGTCATTGTGCCTCCCACTCGGTCCCCTCCCCCTATGAACATCAACAGTCTCTGCTCAATGCCACTCGGGGGCCAACGGCCTATCTCTAGGTGGTGGGTGCCAAGCTTGCCCAGGAAGGTACATGAGGTGAATAGGAATTGAACCCAAGACCTCTAGAATGCCACTTGCAAGAGCTACGCCGGCTGAGAGAGATTTTTTGTTTAATAAGGGGTTGCAGAAGGCGATTTTGCGAAGGGAAAATTTTCGAAATGCCCCCAAAGTTTGCATTTATTTGCGGCATGCCCCGGTAAAGGCCGACTTACCCTGTGGTGCCCCTCGAGCCTCTGAAATTTTCCGCAGGCCCCTGTCAGCATGGGGGGTAAATTTCCAATATGCCCTTACTGGACCACTGGTGGCATTTCGTCGGTAGGTCCTTGAAATGCCCTCACGAGGGGCACACATCTTTCTGTGATGCCCTTGCAGCAGTGGTGGCAGGAGTTCGAATTCAATGTGGTAGGCATTCCACACGCCGCCATGGAAAAACGGTCTGTATGTGTGTGTGTGTGTGTGTGTGTGTGCACGCGTGTGTGTGTATATGTGTGTTGTGTGCACAGCGCACGTGTGTGTGTGTGTGTGT